TTTGAGGTAAAGTTAAATCTTAAGTTTCTGATTTTGTACTTTATTAGTAAGTAAATTTTGCCGCGAATTGCAACAGTAACTTATTTCTACACTCACTGAAAACACGAAAATATAATATAAACATGCAATATAAAATAAAACATGTATAACACTATATACACGATCAATTGAAAATCTAACTTGTATCTACAAATATATATAAAATCTCACGGCACACATCAAATGCAAATTTGGAAATAACCCATGTTTGAACAGTCATTTTCATTGTAATTTATTTCATTTTTTAACGTTATTGAACAAAGTGATTCTCTGACTAATGTTTTAGGGACATAAAAAATGCAGTCGCACCCTCTAATGATATATGATATAAACTGAGATTTATTTTAGATAAGTTGAGTTATGGTAGATAAGTTGAGCTAATGTCGTTGACAAACATCAAAAACATAATTTAGACGAAGTTGTGTAACCCTGTTATTCACATTAAAAATAGTGATAACTTCTTTTGTAATTTGTTTCCGCCATCATGTATTAGTTTCCTAGTTCATCATATATTTATATTGCAATTAAGACCCTTACAGACTTTATGATTAATGGGAACCAAAAGTACCATTACACGAAATGTCAGGCGAGGTCACTATATAAATGAACTGAACCTCACAATAAAGAATACGTAAAATGTAGAAAATAAATCCCCCAAATAAGTCATGGAAAATTTCAGATAATTCCCGACTTTCTGGTGATTCACAGCTCAAACTTGTCAGTTTCACCATCACATCACGTGGTCAGTCCAACAGACATTCCGAACGATTTCTCAGTCATAAATATATTACAACGAAGTGCGCACGATAACTTGAGCATAAGATACAAGTGAATATGGAAAACAATTAATTGAAAAATACTTAATTTCTATGGCCTTATTAGCTGAACAAGAAAATCAAAATCTAATATTGTATTATTCTGTATCGTAGTGGTAACACTTACCCTTACATTTCCCATCAATCAATATGTGACTGTCTGTCATCCTCATTTTCATCCATTAAAGTTACATTATTGTTAACAACATAGTGCGATACTTAACCTCATAGTATTTTATAAATATTGCACTTGCATTCAGATTGAGAATAGGTATGGTAATTTATTAATAGTTGATTTTAAATTCTACGGATGGCCAGTCTTATATAAGAGAAAATGTCATAGTGCAGACACGATCTTGATATCTGAAGATAAGCAGAAATAACGGCAAAGACAACGAATGTGAGTACACTTAAATACCTATATATACAATTAAATGGTAAATTTATTTCTTAATGTTTTTTTTTTATTTTACTGTTTCACACTTTTCATATTCTTCTTTACATGACATGATTTTGTGCAAAAACAAACGCATTATATTTCTGTAAATATAATATCCAATATTGATGGTAAACCACATATATAAAGCGGCGGGTGAGCTACTCCAGCAGACTTGAAATGTGAGTATATTTTTAGCATATAACAGTTATTGTATTGTAAATACCTCTAATAAATACATGGGTGTGTTGCCATTTTCTGATAACTGTAAATTTCATAATAGTTTTTGTAGACAAACATGAACACAAATTTTGCAGTTTAACATTGTAAAATTTGAAGTGTATAATACTTCTAGATGTCAATAATTACATTTTAATTTTGTATCACTTGTCCATTATGTCATAATGTAATATTATTATATAGTAAGACATGTAAACAATGTAAAAATACCAAAATACGACTGTTATAATATATGGTTACTCTATATAATCAATTATTTGATGTCTACTCCCTTACTAATACCAAATGACTCATAGAAATTACCAATGTTAATTTTGAATAACGTCTGTCTTCTACATTACAACTCAATTCTATAAGAGCGTTTGATTAGTTAATTACGGAAGCATTTGCTAATTATAAAGTCTGATAAAAATTATAGCATTGTTTGATCCGAATCAACTACGTTGGGATTTGTTAGAAAATCTTTTCATATTTTTGTCGAGTTTGTTTACAATAAATCTTGTGTGAATTATACAACCGTGTATAAAAATGAACTATATGTACACATTCGTTATAGATTTAACGCAAGGATACTCGTGGCAAATTATTGTAGTTCATAAGATACAAACATTGTATTTGAACAGCAGTGAGAAAAACTACCACAATATATTAGAAACTAATCTGTCTGAATGACATTAATACTAACTGGGCAGGATCGTTGCCAAATAAATAGGCACTCACGTTGATCAAAATATTGCATGAATATATTTAATTAACATTTGGCTTCGCCTCTATGTAATTGGAAGTGGTCATTCGTTATATTCCGATGTGCGAACAGGTAACAGTTATTGCCTCATGGGAATTGACTATAGAAGAGCTTTAGCAGCCAATAAGTTGCTTCTAATATTGAATATTGCGTTCCAGCATTTATCACCAACATAACAATTCCCCAAATGCAATACATTCCAATTCGGTTATGTATTGAGACCCAATGTCTCCCAGTTTTCGGCAGGGAACAGGAACCCACCATCTCGAGATTTAGATTTCAACCTATAAAAAATAGTACACCCTACAGCATTGATTGATGGATACTCATTTGCATCTATGTACAACAAGCTTAGTCAATATATGCACCTGACTCATCAAACTTTTGACCAACCACTCATTCTAAATATTGTTGAGTGAGGGCACTATTTACTAATGAGAGTAATCCTTTAAAAAAATAAACAGATCTAATATTACAAGCAGTGAATAACAAGTGATGCTTTAATTAATGAAGGTATACAGTTCACTCACCAGTAAACATACTATGGCATGACTTATAACTTGTTCCTATGGATCTTGTAGCCTAGGCGCAGTGAAATACTTGTGCGATATATGATTTCTCAGGCAGTGATTCAGCTCTAATTCTGAAATCAAATTAAATTATTAAAAGTAATTCATTTTAATATTACAAGCAATGAATATCTAGTTATGCTTTAATTAATGAAGGTGTACAATTCACTCACCTGTAAACATACTATGGCATGACTTATAACTTGTAGCCATAGGGGGAGGGGGTCAGTCTAGCCACAGTTGAAATCATTTAAAATATGATTTCTCAGGTAGTGATTCACCTCTAATTCTGATATTAAATTAATATAATAAAATTAATTCATTAATATTACAATCAGTGAATACCTAGTTATGCTTTAATTAATGAAGGTATACAATTCACTCACATGTAAACATACTATGGCATGACTTATAACTTGTAGCCATAGGGGGGTCAGTCTAGCCACAGTTGAAATCTTTTAAAATATGATTTCTCAGGTAGTGTTTCAGCTCTAGCTCTGAAATTAAATTAAATTATTAAAATTAATTCATAAATATTACAAGCAGTGAATATCAAGTGATGCTTTAATTAATGATGGTATACAGTTCACTCACCTGAAAACATACTGGGGCATGCCTCATAACTTGTTCCTATAGATCTTGTAGCCTAGGCGCAGTGAAATACTTGTGCGATATATGATTTCTTAGGTAGTGATTCAGCTCTAATTCTGAAATTAAATTAAATTATTAAAATTAATTCATTTTAACATTACAAGCTGTGAATATCTAGTTATGCTTTAATTTATGAAGGTATACAATTCACTCACCTGTAAACATACTATGGCATGACTTATAAATTGTAGCCATAGGGGGGGGGGGTCAGTCTAGCCACAGTTGAAATCTTTTAAAACATGATTTCTCAGGTAGTGATTCACCTCTAATTCTGATATTAAATTAATATATTAAAATTAATTCATTAATATTACAATCAGTGAGTACCTATTTATGCTTTACTTAATGAAGGTATACAATTCACTCACCTGTAAACATACTATGGCATGACTTATAACTTGTAGCCATAGCGGGGTCAGTCTAGCCACAGTTGAAATCTTTTAAAATATGATTTTTCAGGTAGTGTTTCAGCTCTAGTTCTGAAATTAAATTAAATTATTAAAATTAATTCATAAATATTACAAGCAGTGAATATCACGTGATGCTTTAATTAATGATGGTATACAGTTCACTCACCTGAAAACATACTGGGGCATGCCACATAACTTGTTGCTATAGATCTTGTAGCCTTGGCGCAGTGAAATACTATATATGATTTCTCAGGTAGTGATTCAGCTCTAATTCTGAAATTAAATTAAATTATTAAAATTAATTCATTAAATCTGTTCTATTTTTATAGAAGAACCTTCCAAATAAAAGAAATTCTAAAATTTAAAAACATAGGAGGTAGTCACTAAACCATGTACTTTCACACTCAAGCAAGAGAATAGACATGCTGGTGAACTAGCCTTGCACTGTGAGTGTTTTATTGTTTACACTCTCTAAAATACCAGTTTTTTTCACAAATAAAAAAAGAGCTGCAGACCTCACTTCTTTATAATTTTGAGTGGGCCAGCCAAGTTTCTATATACAAAAATACACATAATATTTCTATTTAATTTATTTTATTTTATAATATAATATTGTCACTGAATTCTTTAAATAAATTTAACATTTACAAATTAATGTGTTGGATATTATATAATCTTAATATTTTACAATAAATATCCTTATATTTGAATCTGTTTCAAGACAATTGAAAAAAAATATTTTAGAAGCATAACAATACAACGACTAGATTTGATGTCACAGTTTGCTCCCAATTCATACTGGAATATTACTTCTACTGTCCAGTCGTTATTGATTTATTATTTACCCGCTGATCAAAAAGGATCTATCTATCTATCTATCTGTGCATGTCTGCCACGCGTTGCGAGTGCTCCTCAAAAAACATGGTTTTTTGCCTCAAATTGTTAGTAAGTTACTACTATTTTTGTACTATCTTTTTTGTTAATACTTACTACATACGTACGCTTATTTATTTTGATTTTACGGTATAAGTCTACCGTGTTTTAGTTTGATTTTGTTTTTCACTTTCAGTTCGCTCGTCGTGGGGCCTTTCCAAGATGGCGGCCTCCACGGCGAGTACACGTGTTAACCATTTTGCAGGGCTAACACGTAAACATGGTCTGAAATGCGAATCAATTGATGGGATACCAATTGAAGCATACGTTAAAAATATTTCTGCTATTCTCAAACCTGTAAATATTATTGCCGCTTCCCGAGTGAGCGGAAGTGTTATTGTTTTTCTCGACTCTGTGAACGCTGTGGAAACTGTTTGTACAACTGGTCTGTCAGTGGGAGACTGCTTTACCCATGTGCAACCCCTTGTAAACCTGCCACTAAAGTAATTCTCTCAGGTGTACCCCCATATATACCAAATCATATTATTCAAACTGAACTGTCAAAGTATGGCCGCGTTGTTAGCAATTTGCGCTTAATTCCACTCGGGTGCAAACAACCCGAGCTGAAACACGTCAAATCCTTTCGCCATCGGTGTCATTAATGTCACTCATGAGGAGCGGCAACATCGTATCTATTTATCAACTGATGATATTGTTTGTCACAGGTGTCTAAAAAAGGGACATATTATGAGAAACTGCCCAGTAAGTCAACAGCAAACTTCAAACGACCCAGTTCGCGATCATTCTCTTCCAAATAGTAAAACCCGCCCCGACCCTGAACCAAGACCTATTGATCAGTCTACTATTGCTACTCTTGATAAAACTGATGAAGCAAACGACATTAATGAAAATGGTGATAATGATAACAATAGTCAAACGATGGAAGTTGACGACACGCCCGAAAATGTAGAGTATAACAAAAGTCACGGAAACAATACAATAAATGATAAAAGTGACGATAACGTAATAGGTGTCAATGTGTTAAATAGCAATGATGATGATAGTAAAGCGCGTGACAAAAACAATGTGACTAACAATGACTTGAATGATAAAGGTGACGATAACGTAATAGGTGTCAATGTGTTAAATAACAATGATGATGATAGCAAAGCGCGTGACAAAAACGATGTGACTGACTATGATTTAAATGATAATAACGAAATAAATGAAAATGAAAACACACACGACACTAGAGTGAGTAAATCTGTTGTAAATAGCTCAATGTTAACTGGTGCGAAACACTAAATGCAAATGATGAGGAGGTAGTAGAAACCCCCCCCCTTTACCC